TTTTACTGGGCGCAAATAGGGACAGGTATTACAAGATTTTTTTCTTCTTCCTGTTTTTTTTTTTTCGCTCATGGAAATAAAATAATATGTTGTAAAAAATAAAATAAAAATAAAGGCAGGGTACGTAGAAATCACCCAAAATATTTTTTTTTTTTTTTTTTCAAATTTGTTCAAACTGTCTTTATATATCAATGCATAATTAAAATGTAAGTGATCTGGAAAATAAATTATAAAAAATCAAGTGTCTGTAGTCCTCTCAGGACTGTAATAAACACAGCTCATTATTCCATTCGGGACGAAAGACATGATTGGCTGCTGTCACTCTCCCTCACTATGGATACCAAATGCGCGCACCGTTTAAAGAGGCAGCTAGTAATAACAATTATGGCAGAGAAAGAACTTTTTTGTCAAAATTCTCAGTACCTGCCCTATAGAGGCAGTGAAGTCAAACAAGTTAAAAAAAGGAAGACAGTATTTGAAAAGGCTATGAAAAAGTCTTTGGATAAATCAAGCAATCATACGAGAGTCAATATCAGCGTGGGTTCCAGTGGTGGCGACAATTGAGGGATCTCTAAGGGCTAAAAAGTGACTCCATGGCTTAATTTCTGCTGGACAGGTAATCTTGCTGTTTTAATTTTGATGGCATTTATTTTTTCATGAAGTTCTAGCACACGTAGCTACCAAATATAGCTACCTAACTTTAAGTAGCATAACGTTACACTGGCTCAGCTATGACGGTGTAATTTTGGTGTCAACTGGTATAACGTTACTGTTAGGGAGCCAGGGTTGAAACCATAAATAATCAATAGGCATATATGCAATTGAAAGCTGTTTTATTTAATTTCGCCAAATCTAACTTTAGGTTAAAAAGTTTAGGGGATCTATTTTTATACCTAGCTTTACCCTCTACCTGCTCCGTTTTTTTCACATTTGGTTTGTTGTTATATGCTCTACATCTGTTTACCTATGTCTTTATGCTGCATTTTTTTGTATATGTTGCATATGTTGTCTTTATGTAAACGCGTCCTCCAGCAGTCAGCATCACACATGTGTTTTGGGGGCGTGGCTTTGGAAGGAGCCGAGAAAGGAGGGTTTGGGAGTTAATGGAATAATGAGCTGTGTTTATTAAAGTCCTGAGATGACTACAGACACTCAATTTCTATCGTTTCTTTTCCAGATTACTTACATTTTAATTATGCATTGATATATAAAGACTGTTTAAACAAATTTGGAAAAAAAAAGGATTTTTGGGGATTTCTACCTACCCTGCCTTTAATTGAGAACATCTCATGTTTTTTCATGGTTGCTTGACCATTTAGGTGCCATAAAAACATACTAAAAACAGAAATGTTTTTCCTTTGCGTTTTCTACGTAGGCGACAATGTTGTCTAAACAATCCCCATACAGTACATACGAATCCACGAAAAATACTAAAAACAATGTATTATCTGTGCCAGGCCAGTAGTTGGCGATGTCACTTTCTAAAGAAACACTAAATGTCACCAATTTCAGAAATTCCGTTTTTTTTTGTTCGCACAGAGACAGTAATTCTATTGACGAAAAAAAAATGCTGCTGTGTGTTTAAATGAATGGCCAAAACATAAAAAGGTTTTCTAGTTGAAAATGGTGTAAGGTAAACAATAACCCTTATAGAAGAGAGGGAAAAGTGAAAAAGTTACTTGTGCACAAATGGAATGGTAAAATTGTGGCTAAGAGTTTATATAAATACAATATTTGGTTGTTTTTTTTTTAACTCTTTAGCTGGAGGCCGTTCTTATTAGTAGTGTTGATTCATTTAATGTTGCTCACATCTGTAGCATTAAGACTTTATTCTTTTAACTTTGCCGCCATTGATTTGAATGGTACTTGTTTGATTATAAGCAGATACTTGCACAATGTGCAGTTTGTGTAAGGGCTCAGCATGATCCAACAATGTCTGTTCCCTGTGGTGTTGGTGGACTCCAAGGTGTTGGACAAACAAGAGAAAAATCCAGGATGTATGATGCTGGTTTCAACTGCAGGGGAGTGCAATGTTAAAGTTTGTTTGAAAACTGCCTATGGCTGGGACTTACTTGTGTCTCCATATGTGCACAGTATTTCTCCTATATATTGTAGCCATTGAATATTTAACCACAATGTGCAGCTAAACATGTTGTTAGTTCAAGAGATCTAGAATTAGAGCATGTATAATTCGTACTGGTCCTGACATAGAAAAGCTTAGAAATATGAAATTGTAATTAAATTAGCACAATATAATGAAACACATTTTACAACATGCACTGTCATGCACACAACATGCACATATTTATTCGCAAGATTTTTAGTTTCCTACTTGGAACATTTTGGTTTTCTACATTTCTTCAATTTTACCAGTCCAAAGAAACTAATGCTATCAAAAAACCACCTAGCGTGTTGAATATAAATGCTTAATCTGACATTTATTTGCAGTCCAGTGGGTTTCATTTGAATGATGTAAATCTGCTGAAGTGTTTACCCTCAGCCCAAGTTGTCAACAGCCGTTGAATTGTAGAGTCCGTGGAGGAGAGCAAGCTCTCACTTTCACCAACAGTTCACATGTGCTTGAGATAAGCTACTGTTGCTTAATACAGAGGAAAACAAGATGCATATTAAATGCTGTGAGAATTTAGTCTGTTTAGTCTTGCCATTTCTAATTACAAATTATTAAGCATAATAATCTTATTTTAATAAAAAAAAAGTAAGTTCTTTACCTTATTCATATGAAAAACAGAATTAAGATATTGTAAACAAATATTTTACCAATTGATTAATGTTCTAGCAATTTCCCAGATGGCAAAACAGAAAAGTTTATCTTTTTAAATGTTTTATTACTTGTTTTAAATAAAAAATAAAAATAAACAACCCTCATTTGTGTGTTTCTATAGCCACAAAAATCGTCAGATCAAACTCAGCTAGAAGACAATGTTGTCTTAATGATAAAAATGTGAGTTGCCTCACCACTGTCATGTGGCCAGCCGAGAATTTCACAAAGAACAGAGGTGGTTTGCCAAGCAGAACTAACGAAGGGCCTGTGGACAAGGCCGACTGCTGAACATGAGAAACGGGGAAGGAGTGAAGACGTATAGATTCTGAAGTCTGAGGAGCATAATTCTCACATATGATTTGGCAAGATCCCAACTAGACATAAAATTCATTTCTCCACGATGAATAACCTTGATTGTTGCACAGAAAGAAAAGGGAATTTCAATAAAGCTTAAGCCATACTTTATTTTCTCTGTTTGAAATGTGTTGACTCGCTAGTCCCTCGTGGGTGGTTTCACAGGCATGCAGGAAATCTTTCGAGTTATTATTTCTTCTTCTGTTTTCCTTGTTACTGTAAGTTTATGAGGATAGTGCCCATCTATTCCCAAAATGCTATGCAGAAGGGAAAATGAAACTCACCCTAGTGTAATAAACAATTTGATTTTTAATAAGCGCAGCATGACTCAAACATCAGGATGCTTTTAAACACGTACAGTCACAGTAATGACTATGTTTCATACGGGACAGTTAAAGGGATATTATTGGGAGAGCTAGTGTGGGTTAGTCTCCTTCATTTTATTGTTTGCTCATATGCAATCGTACTGCTCGCAAAGTATAATTTAACTGCCCTGCAGTTTACCTCTGGAAAATGCATGAAAGCTGTTTAAAATACTCAACCAGAGGTTTGTCTCTTTTCCCACAATATTCAAATACAGAAATGCATGCGAGTGTGAGATTTTATGATTACTTCTGCATACTACAAAAGCAGCATCTTAGATATTCATTGGACTTTTGCTTAAAGTTATACTAGTGAAACAGACAAAAAAGTCCTCTGTATTTCCCAAAAGTTTTATCAAACCTTCTCTACAATATATAAGCCAACTGTAATTTTTTATTTTATTCTTATTACGTGTTTATTTGTTTTAACACATACAGTAGCACCTAGAAAACTCACTGCAATAAAACTGTATTTATTTAGATTCTCAAGAGTTTCATAACGTAATACAAATATTGCATTTATTTAAAAAAAAGAGAATAATAATATGAATAATAATAACAACTAACATATATATATAATATATATAATTTTAAATAGATTGTCCAAAGGGATCTACAAAATAAAAGCGTATGTGTGTGATGAACATGGTTTGCATCAAATTAATTGTCTGTTTTAATTCTCATAGACCCACTGAAACAATATTGCAACAATATTTTTTTTCTTTTACTAAATTATGTAAACAATAGGCTACATATTACAGTAGCACTCTCAAGTGTATCACAGCAACATTTTTGCCTGGAAAATACAAAATACAATTTAAGTCACATAACAAATTCAGTATTTTAAGTAAGTATTTGACACATTCTTTGCTCCTAGTTCACAACAATCTTAATTGTAAGTGTCAGGGCTGCTCTGACTGTGATGTTGACCTCAAAATGTGTGTTTTCAAGTGGTCAGTGTGTAGGAATATCTCAGGATCTAAATACCTCAGGGCTGCTCTGACATCATGTATACTAATTTCATGCTCCAAGCTTGGTAAGAAGCATAGCCTATAGGCTACACGTGCATACACTGTAAAAAAAAAAATGTTATCACATTTTTTTTTTTTGTCAAATCAATGGACAAACTCCTTTTTTATTTCAATGAACTTGAAATTTTAAGGCATTCAGTTTTTTTAAGTTAAACCAACAAAATATAGAGTGTGTGTGTGTGTGTGTGTATATATATATATATACACATATATATATAGTGGTCCCCCTTCAAAAAAAAAAAAAAAAAAAAAAAAACATGCTTAATATTTTATTTTTATTTATTTATTTATTTATTTTACTTTATTTAAAACGGTATCATAAAAAGCTATTGAAAAATGAAGGATTAAAGATTCATGGGCATTTGATAATCCAGGGTTAACCTGTCACGAGACACGTGTGTGATGTTCAGGGGTTAAAACAAAGATGCGCACGAGAGAGTCGCTGTTTCCCTCCACAGATACATCGCGCTCCACACAGTGCACTCGCTCATCTTTGTAAGACCTCAGTCAGTGGTCAGTGTACAAACACTTTGCATCGTCTTCTCTCCACGGAGGCTGCTCTTCAGCACCCGGCGCGAGAACAATCCCATAACTTCACTTCACGTGCTTGAGCCGCCACGCGCTCATATTCACATTCTGTCACATTCATCGACGGTAAGCTCACGCAAGACAACCTCTGCCTGACTGACTGTCTTTGAGACGGAGAATTAGAGAGAGAGAGAGAAATAAAGAGAAAGAGAGAATTTCTCCTCACCGAGCTGCTTATTTTCTCTGTCAAGCGTGTATCATCCGCTGTGTGGTGAAAAGCGCAGAGCTGCGTGGGACCGATTTCCCGCCGCTGCAAGGAGACACCAACCGTCTTCTGAAAGGTAAAAGTTACCTCAAATCTCTTCAATGTGATGTCTTTGTAGGTTATGCCTGTTTGTTGTTCTTTCTTTTTAATTTGTTTACATAAAATAGAGCAAGGCTATGGAAAGTGACAAACTCATAGTCACATGTGGTAACTTAGCCTTGTGTTCATAATGTAAGTAAATGTTTGTAAACATTTTCAACGTCTACGAACACAAGTGTGAAATTCGTGTTTACGTGCAGAATAAATGGTAATTTCTGAATGAATTAGTTAATTTCATTAGATAAAATTTATCAATATCATACTTATTTCTCTGTTGCTGTAGCTCAATTAATCGTGTCTGATTATACCTGTTGATTCCCCTCATAACACTCATTAAACTACAGCCTATGTACGGTACATACTTAGAACCTTCCTGGGAAGAAAGAAACAAACGAAAAATGTTTACATTCCTGAAACAAAACATTATTGCAGATGATAGTCTTTGCCCAAATCGAAATACCTGGAAATGGGCAAAGAAAACGGGTAGCCTACCAAACAACACAATTATGGGATCTATAGGGTGATGAGACAGCTGGGAAGAGAAAGTGAGAGAGAAAGATAAGGTTGGGGGATCAGGTGGTTGAGAGGGGCAGAGAAACCAAAAGAGATGTTGTAATTAAGGCTAAATGGGGGTGAAGAGACACCAGAGAATGCATCCAAGCGGTAATTTGTTTTTTATTGAATATATTTATCAACATTAAATGACTTAATTATTTTGGAAACAGGTAAGTAACTTTAGCTTGGGCTGGCCGCATCTGATGATTCAACATAGCAGCGAGCAGCTGTTGTGCTCATGAGGGCAGGGGTAGTTGATGGATCATGGCCGCACCACACTCATTGAAATTGATTATCAATATGCATCATTTGTTTTCTTTATTGCACCTTTCCTCATTTAGAAAGAAACTCAAGAATTTAATAACATCAGTCACTCACTATGAGTTCTGGGATATATTATGGCTTACAAATAATTCCCATAAAATTCAGTTTTATTATTACGTTGTTTGTTTAGAATCAGTTGCGCTTTACTTTTCAAATACAGCTCATCTCTGTGATCGCTCAACTGCAGCTAAAAAGCATTATCGTGTTGGAAAAAAATATGATGAAAAGCATTCTCGACACACTAGCCAATACCTTCTGTATATCTTATGTAGGCACCAAGTAGAGTCAAGTCACACTGTTTAGGACTGTACCTTCAAAAATTGCATTTCAAACCATGCTGCATGTTACTACTGAATGCGTTCTAGAGCAGCATTTGTATTCTGAGCATTTGTGACCAAAGAACCTTTCATGACCCTTGCAGTAGCCCTATAAGTTCACAAGAGATAGTGGTCTGATCCCTTCCTATGAAGTTACAGACATTCGCACAAATCTCTTGAGTGTTGCTCAAGATTGAAGCTTTATCAACTGCTCAGGTGTGCCAGCCTGCAGGAGGACGACTGAAATGTGTTTAATTGCAGCTGGAGATACCTAAGGCAGAGACAGCAGATCACTTATTCACTCTAGCAGTGCGCTGATTTAAGGGTGTAATTTCTTAATTACACTTCTTTAATTAAAGCACGGAAGGAGGTTATTGCATTGTTAGACTTAATTCTCTGTAAGTCTTTTCATTCAAAATATAACTCAATACCTCAGGATGCTGCCTGAGTTTTTTAATGTCAGTTTGACGTTCAATTATTGGTAACTCTTCAGAATAATGGTCCGTCATTAATTGGGAACTATACAGGAAGTAATACAGGACAACTGAGTAGTCCTACATTAACACTACAAGTAACTAATAAGGGGAAAAAGCTTAATCAGTTTTAGGAGACAATTGCTTACATCTCAGACCAACCCGAGGCTGCTGAGACACAGGTTAGTGTTGTGACTAATTAAAATAATTGGTAATTCTTTATTATTTGTCGTTGTTAGTTCTACAGAGTCTAATCTCATTTAGTAATTATTGATTGCATTATAAGGAACTTTCTCAGTCCTGAATTTGATATTACATAGGCTACCGATTAGTTCTCTTCCTTACAAATTAGTTAGGCTAATAGTAGTAGTTAAAGTGTTAATGTAGTACTAGGCATTTGTCCTGCATTACTTGCGGTAACATGTTATAATAAGGTTTCATTAGTTAACATTAGATAACAGTTAACATTAACTAATGAACTGCACTTCTACAGCATTTATTAATCTTAGTGTTAATTTCAACATTTACTAATACATTTTTAAAATCAAAAGTTGTGTTTGTCAGCATTAGTTAATGCACTCTGAACTAACATGAATGCACAATGAACAGCTATAATTTACGGACATCAACACAGATGAATAAATTCTGTAACAAATGCATTGCTCATAGTTAGTTCATACATTAACTAATGACAGCAGATGCAAGCTTATTGTAAAGAGTTACCCTTCCTGCAAAGTTACCTATTAATAACAGATCATTATTCTTAAGTGTTACCTTTCATTCTGATATAATGATACAATAGACAATTGAGAATAGCACACAATGCATCCGTTTTCCACAATCAAGCTGTCTAGGTGAAAATGGCAGATTTCTGTCTGATCTGTAACAGAGAGGTTTTATTTAAAGCAAATCTGCCTGATTTATTTGACTTTGGCAACCTCAAGCCTCTGGTTTTCTACAGCCCTCTTGTTCTATCCTCTTTGTGCGCATTAGATTTTTTTCTTTCCTGAACTCAAATTCTTGAAATTAAAATCCTTTTCTATAAGTTATCAAGTGGTTCAAACGTTTTAAGTCTGTTCTCTAGTACATGTCCAAGTGTATTATTAAGTTTATTCATAACTGAAGCTGGACATAGAGTGAATGGAAATATTTAGCACTTAATATTCTACTTTTCTAAAAGTTTCTATACTGCTGAAAGTGACAATCCAACGTTTAAGTCAATGGAAGTTAATAGGTCCTATTGAATTTCCCTGTGAAGGTTTGCTGTGATTTGAATTTATTATTATTAGCTTTTTAGCAGACACATCATCAAGCCAGAGACTAATTATTCGTTGTAATTATAGTTTGTTTATGATCAGGTCTTATGCATTTAGATGCATTTAGATTAAAAAAAAAGGAAGAAAACATTGCGGTTTCATTTTCTGCAGTTGAGGTGAATGGGCTGAGCAACCCGGTCTCACCCCAAGACGTCATATAACTGACGTTTTGGGACGTCTTTTGACCATACGTCAATATTCGCCTTTTTAGGGCCCCCTTAAACGTCGGTAGATGAGGTTATGGGATCCTAACTCTACCCCATACCTAAACCTAACCCTAAACCTAACCCGTCACCTAACTGACGTTAAAGGTAAAGCGTCAGTTGTATGACGGCCCGGGATCGCCATCTACCGACGTTTAAGGGGGCCCTAAAAAGGCTGATATTGACGTATGGTCAAAATACGTCCCAAAACGTCAGTTATATGACTTTTTGGGATGAGACTGTGTTAGGCTGAGAGATCGGTTCATAGGTGGCTGTCCCCTGTGAGGCACTTAAAGGAAGATTCATGAAGCTGTGTTTTTTTTTTTTTTTTTTAAAGGATCAAAAGCAATTGAAAGGTACCGTACAAGGTGAGACTGGCAATATTTGAACATTACGTACACAATCCTCTAAATTTAATTAATTATTCTTGGAAATTCCGGTTTAGTTCAATTTCATGTTCTCTTCATGGTCAAAAAAAAAAATATTAATTTTTCTTCCTAACGGAGACTTCATATTGACAAGTTCACAGGTGTTAAACTTGCCCGAAATGGCAGAGCGTAGGTGGCTAACCTTGATAAAAGGATGGAGAAGGGGGAGTGTGAAATGGAAGTTTAAGTGGCCGACTACTGAGGAGCACTTATTACATTAAAAGTCCAACATAAATATGAAACATAATTCAGTGGAAGGTCACATAAGATAGTGACCCGACATTTCTTTAGTGCCGGAGGTCACCCTTAGCTTTAATATTGATACAGTGAAGTGTTTTCAATGTTTTCACATGCTGCTTGTGACTCCAAAGTGACTCCAAAGTAAGTTCCACAACAGGCGGCTGTGGAAAATCTTGGAGGGAAAGTGAAAAGATTCCTGGAAGGTCAAACCAAAACACTTACCAAGTACGAGTAAAATTAGGATTTGTAATATGTGATTTAATCTAAATAATTGCACATTACTTGCATCAACAAAGGTCAGGACGTCATTCAGATTAAGTTAAAGGCATTCAAACCATTTACTAAAGAAAACAGAAATTAAAATTAATTGATTTGATTGATTGATTTTTATGTATATTGTTTTTGTGACAGTTGCAGTTTTACCATAAGACTGAAACAGTCATCTCATACTACGAATAACTGGTGCTGTTTCCTACTTAAAATAATAAATGAAAATTTTAAAAAGGGTAACACTTTGCAATTCACAATTAATACAAATGTTTATTTTCACGGTCCACACAACTTTTGATTTAAAAACAAACAAACAAAGTTTTTGATGTAATAAACTGGGATTTTAAAAGGTTTTCGCATGAAGATTTTCACAAGATAAAGAACACATTTTTTGTGTGTGTTTTGCGGCCTGACCTCCAAGTGATGAGTAGAAACAATGGAGCTGTTATAATTGTTCTTATTCATTTATTGTTTGGGTTTCTCTCCGAGCATTCTGAAGGTTCCTGTTGATTTGCAATTGCTTAACTTCCTTTGTAATTGCTAGTTGGTTGCAAAAATTCAAAAGAAGGCAGAGAACATTCTGATTTCTCTGTGTGTGACTGGCATGCCTGCAAACTAAAATCAATATGGTCCGCACTGTATTGCTCATCCCCTACTCTTCCCAGAATTTTTAATGGTGGATTTTTTGGCTGTGATTTCATTTTTTCCAGCTGCAGAAAACTTTCTTTTATTGTTACATGGTAGCTTTTAGACTGAAGAACAGATGACACATTGATTGATGTCTAAATTGATGATTCCCCCCTCGTTCCCTTCACTTAAAATTAAGGGCATCAAAAAGAATAAAAGCCGGA